CCCCCTTCTTCTTTTGTTAAATTCTTGATTAAAAATATATATTTTTCCAGTTTAGTCAGTTTCACTGTAAATAATATTTAACCATGCTGTTTATGTGCTAAGGTTTAATATATAATGTTTATTTTAATTTTACAATGCAAACACGCTAATTAAACCCCATACTTTGTAATCTTTGAACTTGTATGTAAAACCTAAGAATAAAGTTATTCGTCGGAAATAAAATCAACATTTTTTTAATGATGAAATTCAATATTTTGTTAGTTATACCAACACTATCATTGATAAAATAACAGGATCCTATTCATTTGTAGGACGTAATAGACAGTACGGACGTTTTTCAACCCAGGATCCATACCATACATAATGTAATAACTGTGCAATAGGAATGGCTTTGATAAAACCGTATTCATGCTATATCAATATAAATAAGTCTGACATACCTCAGGCATGGAGCTTACTTCGTGGACCTGTCCAATTAGTTTACAATAAGACTGAAAAAGCAGTAGCAGTTGGAAGTGAAGCTTATACAATCTTTGACAGAGCTCCAATTGCTGGAAAATAATTAGAAGAAATACAATCAATAAATGCGATATTACATACACCTAAATAGGAACATAACCAGAAATTGCACTTTATAAAATAAAACAATTTGAAGCTATTGTGTATTTGATTACAATAGCATGGCATGTGATGATGTGCGATAATAAATTGCCATTTTATCCATCTTTAAATTAAGGAAAAAATCCTCAGATAACACATTAGGATGCTTGAAGCCGTTCTGGGAGCAGTTTCTCCAAAATGGCGACCTCATACATTTTTAACCTCTCTTCACCCGAGGCGAGGATGTGTTACTAGGCTAGCTAGGTGATAATGCTTTCTTTCATAGTAAGGTGCTTGGGAGCGATGATTATGTATAAAATATACACAGTGGATATTTGTAATGTAAACAGCACAAGAATACCAGAAAACAACATAACAGCTCGTTCTAGAGCCTCGTGGTGCTCACATGAGACTTAATGAGGTCAGTGGTTGGGAAAGCCAGCAGGTATAGGAAATGTTTGTGACCAACAGATTTACTTTAAAGTGTATCCGTGTATTGAATCTTCTACAACAAATTGTTACTAGACCTGGATTATATATCCACTTTAACCCTGTTCACAATTTGCTATTCCTCAGATTTCAAGTATTCCCACTCTAAACATTGTGTGTGCATCCTGTGTATCTCTGTAGAAAGCATTGAATTAGCAGATTGCACAGATAACACATTGCATGTCTGAACTGCTGCAGTAAGGATCGGACAAGAGTCAAATGTTTACAGAAGGAGGGTCAGACTGCAGTGGGGAGTTTGTCTCAGCGCTGGAGATATTTAGATTTTTATAAATTATATTTTATTAATTATATTTTGTTTATTTGTTATTATAATAAGGGGGAGGGGCATTAATCTAAACAAATACAGTGGACTTAAAAAGATAAATAAAATTAAATACAGTGTTTCTTTTAAAGAAATGAACACCGATATGCTCACAATACCCACAATGTAACATATGGTTTATTCTACTACAAAGCTCCTGTCTCACTTATGCATTTGTTTTGAATTCTCTGCTTGCATGCTGGGATTTCAGAACCTATTCCCATAACAATCTGCTTTAAGCTGTTTTTGTAATTATACATATTACTTATTTCTTTCAGCATGGCGTAATTTGTCAGCACTGTATACATACATTATCTGAATCTATATACAGTATACACAACTATTTTGTTTTCTATGTCTGTTTAATCACAAGGATTGAAGAATTCCCATAAAGCCGAAGTGCCATAGGGGTTTAAAGTATTACCCCTTTGGGTGGTAATTAAGTGGGTATCACATTGTATTTGTAGACTTTTACTGAGAAATTTCAATAACAGGACCCAAAGTAGCACTGTAGTGTGTGTGTCACATTGTATCACATTAATTTACTTATAATATGCCACATACTTATAACATACTCCCAGTGCTTAACCAGGACAGTAGTTCATAAGTATTTTTTTCAGTTTTTTTATTCTCAATAGAGACCCAAATCACGTACATGGAATTAGCTTAGTGATGTATTCTTCAAATAATAGATTTATCTCCGTGACAGAAGCTATGTACTATGAATTATGTGACGAGTCTTTCCTTGGAATCCAGAATGGTCTCCATTACAATATGGAACGTGTAGCTGCAACAATTAATCTACTGTGGGCAGCTGTCTGGGGCTAGCCCATTAACATAATAATCATTGTTAAAGCGCCAACCTATTCCGTAGTGCTGTACAATGGATGGATGAGACAAACAAAATTGTAGCTAGAAACGGGTAATGAGAAGCCCTATCAAATGTCATGGGAAGCATTATGTTGGAACTGGCACCCAGTTTTGGGACCTAACCAGGGCCGGATTAACATAGGGGCTGATGGAGCTGCAGCTCCAGGCCCAGGCCCATGGAATAAGCCCATTGATTTAAAAAAAAAAAAAAAATTACATTTTTTTTCACATTTTCTTTTTTCACACACTACTCTTAGGGATTCCACCTGTCTTTTATTTTATTGGCACAGCCAGTATTTGAGGCTGCCTGGCTAGTGCCAGTATTACAGTGATACTGGCAATACAAATGCTGTTATTTTTCTCAGTATAAACAAGAGATTACTATGCAATACCAGCACTGGCCAGTAGGGGTCGCTGTATGTGGAGACAGGCAGGGATAGGAAGTTCCAGCATATCCCTCCCTGCCTATCTATACTCACTGATCTGCAGGGGTGCAGCTACAGAGAGTCCAGACAGCAACTTCCACGCTGCAGAGACAGCCTACAGCTCAGGGAAGTAAGGGATGGGGGGGAAAGGCTGCAAGGAGAGATACACTGAGACACTAAGGGGCACTGGGAGACATTATGACACAGACACATGGGGACACAGTGTCCCCATGTCTCCCAGCCAGTGTCCCTGGTGTCTCAGTGCCCCTTAGTCTCCCAGTGCCCCCTAGTCTCCCAGTGACCCCTAGTCTCCCAGTACCCCCAGTGTCTCACTGTCCCCATGTCTCCTAGTGCCTCCATGTCTCTCAGTGCCTCAAGTGTCACAATGTCCCCATGTCTCCAAGCTAGTGTCCCTAGTGTCTGTGGTCCTGGTGTCTCAGTGTCCCCATGTCTCCCAGTGCCTCCATGTCTCAATGTCCCCATGTCCCCCAGCCAGTGTCTCTAGTGTCTGTGTCCCCATGTCTTCAAGTGTCCCCTATTTTCCCATTGTCCCCATGTGTCCCAGCCAGAGTCCCCTAGTCTCCCAGTGTCACTGGTGTCTCTGTGTCCCTAGGTCTCCCCGTCTTCCTAGTGTCCTAGTGACATAGGGACCCTGGGATACATGGGGACACAGGGAGACATGGAGCATTGAGACACTGTGATACATAGGAACACTGAGACCTGGAGTAATCGACACATGGGGGCACTGGGAGGAATCCATCTATACAGCAGAATCAAACTAAGTAGTTTTTTGGTGATTTTACAGAATTTTCTATTATGTCACTCCTTGTGATTTACATCATGTGATGTCACCCATACATATTTAATTATGCAAATTAGTAAGACCGGTATGTTTTTCCAAGAAAGGTGGCAACCCTAACTACTTTTCACATACTCTTACTTAAGTATGGAAACTTAAGAGGGATGTATGGGAACAAAACTTGTGTGGACTGGCTGACAATGAATATAGTTAAAGGGACACCAGAGTCACCAGGACAACTACAGCTTATTGAATTTGTTCTGGTGAGTAGAATCATTACCTTCAGGCTTTTTGCTATAAACACTGTCTTTTCAGAGAAAATGCAGTCTTTACATTACAGCCTAGTGATAACTTCACTGGGCACTCTTTAGATGGCTGTTAGAGATCCTTCCTGGGTCATGGCTGCCTAACATGCATCCAAACATTCAGTGTCTCCTCCCTCTGCATGTAGACACTGAACTTATCTCATAGAGATTCATTAATTCAATTAATCTATATAAGGAGATGCTGATTGGCCAGGGCTGTGTTTGAATTATACTGGCTCTGACCCTGATCTGCCTCTTTGTCAGTCTCAGCCAATCCTATGGGGAAGAACTGTGATTGGATCAGGCCACCACTTCTAATGATGTCAGCAGACTGCTTGTTTTTATGAGTCTAACAGCATGCATAGTTACAGCTTCAGGCTTGAATATAGTTAGATTTTGCTATATTTATGGAGGCATGAGGGGCCCAGGGGGGCTAGATGGTGGTGTTAACACTATAGGGTCATGAATTCATGTTTGTGTTCCTGACCCTATAGTGATCCTTTAAGGTAATGCTGACTTTGGTCTCTCTAACACTGTGGCATGTTCCATTTCTTCTACACTCACTACATACAGCTTTTCTCTGTCCCAGACTATATACCAGGAGCTTCTGCCTGCTAGTAAGAAGGTAAGAAGACAAGTGGACCAGCGAGTGCTAGGAAACAGTCCTTAGAAAGCGTTGAGTGAGCGCATAATTAGCTCAGGGTGCTGTCTGCATAGTATGGCCAGCTGCATGATTGGCAGGCATCCTGACATGCATTCATGCCAGACTGGCCTTCTAATTCTTTGGGCAGACATACCCTCTTTTTGGGCATGTTTGTCCCTTTTGGCAGGTCGCGTGATTTGTGTCAGTGGCACACCCTTTTACCGTGCCCATTGACTTCCTGCTTGACTGGACACTGCTGTTAGCTGTTATGGATTTACTTGAAAGATGAAAACATAAATTAGAGGGAGATTAGCATAAGGTATGTGTTTTCTTATAGCTGCTGTTTTCTTTATCTCCAGCACCATCTCCATCAAATACATGACGCTTGTGAGTGTTTTATTGTTTTTGGTCGATATGATTCTGTAATTAGGCCCATCATAATTGTCAGCACCAGGCCCACTGGGCTCTTAATCTGGCCCTGGACCTAACCTTTAACTGACGTTAAAAACCACTTAGCTAGAATGTGACAATATGTTAAACAGGGGGGCAACCAATGTGTGTGTGTGTGTGTGTGTGTGTGTATGTATATATATATATATATATATATATATATATATATATATATATATATATATACACACACATACACACACACATGGAAGATACCTTTTAAAGGATAAGGCAGAATGTAATTTGGAATTATTATTTTAAATATTTATTTATGCTACACTTATTTTTGCGCACCATTTTTTGTTTTTATGTTAGCACATCATTTGTACAATACTGTTAAGGGTTACAGGGGTTTGAAGGAAAAGAACTACACATTCTAAACAAACTATACACTGACTGAAAAAGGTTCATATACTGAACAATGTAAAAGAATGTGATAACATATACTGGGGCTATATTGCTAGCAAAACATGTGTTGCCTTCCTCTTAGCTCTGAAAACGTCAGACAGCTGTCGGCATTCCAGACACAAACGCACGTGACACTGTGGGAAAAGGAATTTGAGAGAAGAAAGAAAACTCTTGTAGACTCACTAGCCAACAATTTGCTTTTCTTCACACACCCTCCAAACATCACATGATTTTCATCAGGAAAAGCATAAATTGCTGTTTAGCTGCTTACACACATTGATCAAGTTGTTTTTTTTGTTGTTTTTTTTGCGTTCATACTTTTTCAGTAAAAATGTTACCTTTTGACACTGCAGCTATTATGGACTACATTTCCCATAAAGCTTAGCTAACCAGCCACCGGTAAAAGCTGCAGTGCCAAAGAGAAGTCATTAACATGTAAAGAAAAGGCTGAAGGCTGCATATGATTGTGCACCAAAACCACTACAGTTTATTATAGGTGGTATGAGACTATGGGGCTGAGTTCTGTCAAACCATTTTGGAGGTAGCCTCACTTGCGAGGATGCTGACTGGACATAAACACCAATATTCTACAGCAGAATTTTGCTCTGTTTGTATTAAGTACTACATTCCATTCCTGCTCAATGACAGATTCATAGTTTATTTGCCCCTCACAGCTGGAATATGAATTCAATATTTTCCAACTCTTCACTAAACTAGTGATTCTTATAACCTGAGCCGAGGCCCAAAATTAGATTCAGTACTTTTTCAGTTGGTCATCAGTGGGTGGAACAGGCCACAGGCAACTGGCCACTGTAACAGCACATTCTTACCAAATGTTATTAAGACCTGACACTGATTAAAACCTAACAAAGCTGATTTGTTGAATTCTTTTCTGTTATATATTATTGAAAATTTTTTATTTAAAAATTAGTTGTTTTAAAAAAAAAAAAAAAAAAGGGTCATCAAGCTATTGCCATGTACGTAACGGGGGCCCCTGTCAAAAAACATTGTTACAGTGAGCATGGGCGTTACCAACTTCAACATTAAATTAATAACATAACCAACCGGTGACAGTTGCCGAATAAAGAAAACTTTATATAATAATAATAATAATAATAATAATAATAATCGCCACTTGTACTTTTTCCAATAAAACTCAACAAGAAAAGTGTTTGGTCTTGGTATTAATCACACTGTCAGTTAATAAAAAGATCTTACCAGTATCCAAGCAATGCATGTTATTAATTTTACAATATATTTCATTATGCCAACCAAATGCTAAACTAAACAATCCAATGTGTTTTTTTTTTTGTTTGGTTTTTTAATCTAAAATGGATTTGCTGATCGTGAGCGGTTGGCACACATTTGCAAGTGAACACTCTTTTACTATTCAACAATACATTGTTACCACAATGTAATAAACTTTTTTTTAAAAGCATCTTATTTTTTTTATTTTTATTTTGTTTAGAAGATAGGAATTTGTAGCTACAGAAATCTAGATATATTAATTCTGCTAAAATATTTCGGAAATAATTTTACTGTGTTTATACTATCCATTTAGGACGAATAATTCAGATTTTAATGAATTTCAAAGATACTTGGTAAAATAATTTAACACTTCACATAATGTAATCATAGAAATGTTAGAACAAACATTTTAGAACTGTTAGCAGAAACCAAAGCCAAATTTAATAGGATGAACGATGTAGAACAGTGAATGGCACTGCGAATGAACTACACCTTACACGCTTTTGGGCTGGAAGAGCATCGAAAGAAAAATAGTCCACAAACATCCATGGTAAGAGATCACTGTAGTAGAATGTGAATGCCTTAGTTCATGGCTAGCATCACTGCAGAAGACAGTACATATATTAGCCTAAAGGTTAGCCATCAGTCAGTGTGGATGAGAATGAATTAGCTAGTTGAGTACAAGATAGGAAGACAAGGAAAGATCCAAGACTTACTGCAAGACATTCCATTTGCTACGCGGAGAGCATGGAGTAAGAGGAGAGAAGAGGGAGGGACAGAGTTAGTTTGAGGCATGCAGTACAGAATAGCTCAGTAACATATTCACTTTAAGCAGTGCCAGTGCTCATTTTTCATCCTTATCGAGGTTGAAAAGATATCAATGTACCTAAAGCATGCAGGGCAGTCACACAAGCTGTAAAAGAAAAACGGTGACAGAAAATCCTGCTACAGGAAATGTTTTCTAGTGAAAATGTGTCAAAAAAAAAGAAAGAAATTAAGAAAAGCAAAAGTTGGTTTGAGGGACTTTTCCAATATGTTTTACCTTATTACACCAGTGCTAAACAGCTCAGCAATTACTATGTAAATCATTTCATTTGATGACCAGTGTGCACAGAAATGCTTCACACATTTTAAGCTACCCCTGCTCTCTAGCAAACATTCTCAACTCTGTTCTCACAACAATCTGGCTACGTCCCATCCCCGTAAGAATAGAATGAGGTCATTTCTAAATTGTGACCCATTGGAGATTCGGTTGGAGCTTGGGTTGAGAATCACCAGTCTACGGCATAAATTATACTGTAAACAAATTTAATTAGCAGAACACACGCTGAAATAAGTAAGTAATTCTGCTCTAGCATAGATAATGCCATATTACATACGTGATCTGCTCTATGTGTAGACTTGTAGAGCGTGTATATATGAAATGTAAAGCAGGCTCTGTGGCTCAGGACATGGCTATCACCCCGGTTTACTTGTAACTTGTGATACATTATCAATATCCTGTATTGTATGTTAATGGTAAAATAGTAAGGCAAGCAAAACTACTTCTTACCAAAGTGAAGAAAAATGGGACACGTCATTAGTTTATAAGTGAAGTATCTACATTAGGGGATCTGGCAGTGTTCGGTTAAATCATTTTCACATGTGATCCAACGGCCCCATGTTTGAATCTAAGGGCATCATACTGAATTTCAAAGTGGTCAAACTAAACCCCACAGGTTTGCGTTTAATACTATACACCATTAGACTGTTAAACCCCTCAATAACTTATAAATAAAAATTCTCTAAAACGCTTTACCCTTTGAATTCTTATTTCGATTAAGTAATTGTATTGTTAAAGGGATACTAAGCACCAAAACAACGTTAGTTTAAAAGGTGAGGCTAACCCTTTTTAACTTTTTTTTTTTATGACTTAAAATGGCCAATTGGGTACTAGTAACTTGTTCCTTACACCCCTTATTTAAAATAAAAACCCTGTAAAATAAGTATAAAGTTACCCTGAATTCAGCACTGGGCAAAGTTCTCATCTCGGAGGTCCAATCAAATGCTTCACATAAAGAAGCATTTGATTCAATTTATCTCCAGGCCCAGAGAGCATTGTGCACTCTGAGTCAAGGAGTGGAGGGAATGTGGGGTGGACAGAGAAGTGGATAATAAATAAATAAAAATACACATTTTATAGATTGTAGGGAGACAGAGAGGGGTCTTACAAGCTTTGAAATCTCAGCGCTGCCTGCAACGGTAGAAGCTGATTATGTCTGCTGCCAGCACGCAGTATGGGAAGACAACAGATGTAATATTTGTACAGAATTAACACTAGGCATGTATGCTGTGTCAGTCACCAGCCAGGCGAAGTGTAGCTAGGGCCGCATAAACAGAAACAAAGTGATTTAACTCCTAAATGGCATAGAATAGAGAGTGAGACTGCAGTGGTATGATCTATACACCACAACCACTTAATTAAACTACAGCTGTTTACGTACCTTTTAACTTGTCTTTTACAAGTAAAGGTTGACCCTCTAACAATTTTGTGGAACTCACAGACAATGTAATATATAAAAATAGTTAAGACTTATGTGCAAAATAGATCTTTAAAATTAAAAAACAAATTGTTTAATCACTTGGCCACCGGAAACTGAAATTAGGCTGACTTAATCTGGCCTCATGTCAGAAGGCAGGAATGCACAGAAATTTGCTATTTTATTTACTTTGCAGCCCTACGAGTGTGAGGACATCCAGTGTCAGTTAGGCGACTTTGTTTACACTGTACTTTTCGAAATAAACCTATATTTCTATGAAAACTGAAGTTTTTTGTTTTTTTGCCTCCCACATAAACTTACATTTTCTTTATTTGGCCTGTCTCAGCCTTTGAGTTTGACAAGCTTGGTTTAGACACTAGGGTAAAGATTGTATAATGATGTTTTATATTAATCATACTGTGATCAACTGAATGAAAAGAAGGGATTTCTCTTCCTTCGATCGTCCCAGCCAGTCAGCCATCCGTAATATCAAATCAAAATGAAAGCATTTCTAAACAGCAGTTTTCCATGTGACACTATGATTTCATAGGATAGACGGAGTACTGAACTGATCATCTCATCCATGTATCAACACATAAGATGTAAGGTGAAGGATAGGTTAAAAAGACGGACATGAATTACCCAGGGCCTGAGTTGATATGTGATGCTTGCAGGCTTACTAATTGCAGAATCAGAAGCCTGGGTTGCCAGGTGGCTAATCCGGCTCTGTAATTGCCTAGTGTACAGATCTCACATTACTCTAGCCAAGGTATTAAAATCAGGAAATACATATCACCAGGTTCTGAACCCAACAGGTATCAGATTGAAATCAAGCTTGAATTGTTACACTGTGAATGTTCCTTCCACATGCAACAACAGGAATCAATCTGTAAAAATCAGTCATTCACAGTATTATGTAACTGAAAAGGATAATACTGAACATTCTAATTAAAGGGAAGCTATAGTCACCAAAACAACTTTAGTTTAGTGAAGACGTTTTGGTGTATAAATCATGCCCCTGCAGTCTCACTGCTAAATTCTCTGCCATTTAGGAGTTAAATGACTTTTGTTTCTGCATATGCAGCCCTAGCCATACCTCCCCTGGCTGTGACGTATATGTCTACATAAAAAAAAGGTTTAGTTTTTAATCAGATTTGACAGCACAGTGTGTTTAGTTTAGATGTTTTTATCTCTGCTAAGTTATCTTTAAATCACACATATGAGGCTCCTACAGGCTGTAGCAGGCTATTAACAGTTTGTTTATTAAACAAACTGTGCAATAAAGGAACATTAGATCTCTCTTTACAGGAAATGTGCAGAGGACGATAAGTTAAATGCAGGGGAATCATTGGTAAGGCTGCAAAAGTGATTTAACTCTTAAATGGCAGAGAACAGAGCAGTTAGTCTGAAAGTGCCTCATCTATACCCCAAAACTACCGCATTAGGCTAACGTTGTGTATGCTGCTTATAGTGTCTCTTTAAATGACCATAGCAGATTCATTTTCTTGATCTGAATATCCCTTTTTGCTAATTTTGTCCTTATAATGAATATTAAAGTGACAAGTAAAGAGAGGTAACACTAACATTAAGTACAGTACTTTGTTGATCGGCTATATGCTCATTATATCGTAAGGTAAGTACAGACACAGTTAGCCAAATGGACATAAAACTAAAATTAAGCACAGACATGAGAGACTTGAGTGCTTCACTTTGTTTTCGGTCCCCAATCCAGCTCACCACTTTTTACTGCTATAGCTTTAGCGATCTACCATTTTCATGGTGAATATAACACGACTGAGTCTGCTTTGTCTGCTTAATTTTAAGTAAGTTAATTATGTAAAAAAAGAAAAAAAATATATAAAAACCATCAACAAACAATAAAAGAAATAAACAAAAGCAGTGGGGTTAAGGCTGCAAGCAAAGGCGCCATTGGCTCACACATGCCAAGACTATCTTAACAAGTTATGATATACGTACAATCTTGACGGAATCTGATGCAACTTGTTACGTCAAGCACATCCTGACTTTAGCGTAAACAGAATCAGGTGACACTGATTTCATTAATGTACACCCAAAAAGGAAAGAACAATTTGTGTCATTACAATGCCTTCCAACTACACTACACAATTACATCGTCGGAGGCCTTTTTCTATCTATCAGGTACTATTCGGTAGGTTTGTACAAGAATACCAATGCAGAAAGATAAGTCCTGCGCTCACTCCCATCACTGGGCGGCAGCAATGACTACAGTACACATAAGCCCCAATATATAGTAAAACCCAAAGAAAAACAAGTTACCTGAGCGCTCTCCTTAATCCCTATGTATTTTTAAACAAATGGAGGTTTTTTAGTTACCTCCAATGGCCATGAGAGGATAAGCCCACCTGCCAACGTCAAGGCAGACCCCCCCAGGTGGGTCCAAACTCTAACCATTCACCTTGCTTCCTTGAGCTTCTGGCAAAGATCTCTAATGAGACAAAAAGGGGTATTTTTTACATGTGTTCCCTATTAAGGGTTAATATATAGGGGTGTATATAAAAAATACCCCTTTTTGTCTCATTAGAGATCTTTGCCAGAAGCTCAAGGAAGCAAGGTGAAGGGTTAGAGTTAGGACCCACCTAGGGGGGTTTGCCTTGACGTTGGCAGGTGGGCTTATCCTCTCATGGCCATTGGAGGTAACTAAAAACCTCCATATGTTTAAAAATACATAGGGATTAAGGAGAGCGCGCAGGTAACTTGTTTTTCTTTGGTTTTTACTATATATTGGGGTTGATGTTTATTGTAGTCGTTGCTGCAGCCCAGTGATGGGAGTGAGCGCAGGACTCATCTTTCTGCATTTGTATCCATTTTTTGTATCGCTCAGCCTTGTTACAATGCAGCCGCCCATCCCATGTGTTCCCTATTAAGGCTTAATATATAGGGGTGTATATAAAAAATACCCCCTTTTGTCTCAGAGAGCTTTGCCAGAAGCTCAAGGAAGCAAGGTGAATGGTTAGAGTTAGGACCCACCTAGGGGGGTCTGCCTTGACATTGGCAGGTGGGCTTATCCTCTCATGGCCATAGGGATTAAAGAGAGAGCACAGGTAACTTGTTTTTCTTTGGGTTGTACAAGAATATGCCACCTACAATTTTATATTTAATGCATGCAATGGGAGAATGTTGTAAAGTGTTGTAGGATACAAACGTCCATGCCACATTCATTTCTATGGATGCGGCATACACTCCTGTGTACATATCCTTCATCCATTGTGTGCGTCCAAGGATTGCCCTGTTTTTTGTCACCAACCCTTTTTTTGAAAAGTATAGTTTGCCAACATGTAAGTATCATCATTTGTATTTAGAAAGCAAACAGAATAGTATTAGGACACACCTGCACTAGTAAATGTTTTGTTATCTATTGGATTAAAAACACAGTAAAATATAAATCAATGGGCATACATCTTTCACTCCTCTACTTTCACTGTTACACAGTTACTGGAACCTTTCAAAGATGCTCATAATAAACATGACAGAACATGTCCAGTGGGAAGCCTCCAATAACATTGTGGATGTGTTGCCTGCTTAGAATATACAAATGAAAGTCAGGAATATGAAAGTAACATGCAGTTAGGTTTTTATGCGCAGTTTTCCTGTATACTAGGAGATCTAACAAAGGCTGCTGTAATCACGTAAGACAGTCTAATATTTTTTTTATACCATAGCATTTCATCTATCTGTTGCGTTCAACTACAAAACTTTGTGAGCAATGACTTACTTTCTCTTCTGAATCCCCAGGTTGACAGGTGATTACTCCATCTTTTGAGCCCCCAGCAAATGTTGATTTACAGTTTTTTAGCCACTTAAAGAAAAAAGAAAAAAAAAATACAAGTGAAAAAAAATACAATAAAAAAAGTTTACATTTTTTTTTTAATAATGTTACAGTTCAAATGAGCAGAATAAAAAATAAATAAAAAAAGAACAGCAATTATATATGCTTAACTCATGAACTGAAAATGCTTTGTACTGAAATTCATCAGCACAAGCAGGGATACAGCAAATTCAAATTCATCAGCACACGCAGGGATACAGCAAATTCATCAGCACACGCAGGGATACTGCAAATTCATCAGCACACGCAGGGATACTGCAAATTCATCAGCACACACAGGGATACAGCAAATTCATCAGCACTCATAGGTATGGAAACTGTAAAAATGTGTTCTAACCCCACTGACACCAGCACATATAGGAATATAAAATGTTAAAGGGGATCTGTAATTTCCAAAATATATGTGTTTGTAAGGTCTGCAAAAATACAAGTTAACGTAGAAAAATAAACATTTATACTGGAGAAAAGTGCCTTTTTCTTGACCCCCTGTCATTCGTTGTTATAAGATCTATCACCTTTCTTTCATTAAACCTAGCATTATTTTTTTTATTTCTCCTCCAATGCAATGTGTACCCTGGATTGCCATGACCAAAACAAAGCATTTCATAAAAAACAGTTAACACAAGTTATAGGTAATTTTCAATATTTTATTTACATGTATAATTTCCTCTTCTGCTTTAAGCTATTTACAGGCCAGCAGGAAGTTTCTATGCATCAAATAAATAACTGTACTAATCACATGGCACTAACACTGTCCCATGTGGCAAATTCAAGCTTATTGGGGATTTAATGAATATATCCTTTATTGATACACCAGAACACACAGAGCCTTCAACGTCAACTAGTAAGAGCACTAAGTGGCTCAATTCAAATATAAATTATTCAATTCCAGAATGTACTTAACTCTGCTCTTCCATCCTAATACATGGTTTAACTTACATGCTAGTGCCAATTTACAGAAAGTTAAGTACTCACGGATACAGTTGCTTCCTTCCTGTTGTTGTACGTGTCCAAGTATTCCTGAAGCTCCAAGACACTGAACTTTAACTTTTCCAGAAGCCCACAAGACAACAGCTAAAAAAAATAAAAAATCATTAAAAACTAGATTTAAGATCCAACTTGATATAACTTCATATCTAAATACAATCATTATATAGATTTACACTCTGCCCATAAATACAGTTAGATTAAAATGCTAAGTACTGTCTAGAGCAGGGGTGTTCAAAAGGTAGATCCCCCAGATGTTTTTAATACTACAGCTTCCATGACGCTTTGTCATTCTAAAGGCAGGCAGAGCATCATTGGAGTTGTAGTTTTAAAACATCAGGGGATCTACCTTTTGGGCACCCCCTGTTCTAAAGGCATACATCATGGGCACTGTAGTTCTACAATATCTGGGGGATCTACGTTTTTGGGCATGTAGCCATATTTCCCTCAGATGACATGGCGCAAGGAAACCACTTGGCAGAGTAAAATAACAGAAACGTTGACTGAGAATTACATTTTATAAGGGCTCCGTAATACATACAGCATTATTATTAGCAGCAGCAATTAAGTTCAGTGGGATTCAAAAGGATATCTGTCTGAACAGAAATGCTGGGTTAAAGGCAGCAGCTTACTCACTGAGCATCCATTTTTATCAGTGGTCACACATGTGACATAACACGGCTGCCAAGTTTTAATTTTCCGATATGAAACATTGGTTATATTATTTACTAGCCTTCACTATTTACAAACGGCATACTCACAGTTTCAGCATCTACAAAGAGAGTGGGGCACTCTGAACAAAGAGTTAGCATCTGTGACGTGCTCAAAAATTTTGACCCAATCCCTCGAAGGCTGTCTCCAAGGTAACCGGCTGCATCACAGGTGAGGAAGCAGAACCGCTTCTGGATACTCTGCAAGGTAAATTATCTCTGCTCAGAGACTGACAAACTTTATCTACTTCTCATAGAGTTAACTAATGAACAAATAAAAACACCACATAACAATTCTGATTACGTTAAAGCAATTTCCATCCAGGACTGTTTTTTTTTTTTTAACTGAAACTAAATAACTTTCTTTTTCGAATTAGATCAAGAAAAATGACACCTTATTTAATACCACGAGAGGCAACATCATTGCAGCGTGCATGTTTTCATGCTTTGTGTGTCAAGTGTCCACTTTCTCCAAATTTGTCAAAGCTGGCAACGCAACGAATAAAGTAACCGCTACTATTTTACGCTTTCTGTTTAGTTGAATGCACCAGCAAATCAGCGCTATAAAGAAATCAACTACAACATAGGCCTCGTTACAAAATCATACCTTAAACAAGGAAGAGAACACATGAAATGTGTACACTGCACAGGACCCGTCGGAGTCTGACATCAGCTGATTGATATGACTGCGCCATGCTTCTTCTGCATCATCACAAACCGTGGGTTGAAATGCGGCCAAAATGGCAGAGAAGAAAGGAGAAGGAGGTGGTGGCGTTGCTCGGTCACCTTCACCAAAGCTGCAAAATCAAACCCATAACTTGATTCTACAATTGCTAACCTTCACAACCTAGATCCTCATGATGTCTACGTTGGCAAATCGTTGAAGACAAAGATGTTCAGAAAAAGACACTAGAGGGTTCAAAATTGTCATCACTGACAAAATAAATGGAGATTTAAAGGCAAGCAGACCTACTTTTTAAAAATATAAAAATCAAAAAGCAATTGGACTAATACAAATTTTTAATGTATTTTAAATTAAAATGATTTTGCAATTTTTCTTCATTGTTAAAAATAAATACAACTGCAAAACGTCTGTCATTCCGACTGATGACAAAATGAATATGTTATATTTAAACAGACATTTCCAAACTGGTGCTGCTGGTTCTGTCTTCTCTGTGTTTATAATGAAACACAGAGTACAAGAAATATAATCAGAAACACATTTCAGATTCCCAAAATAAAAATTAAGTGTGTAGCGGTTTTTGCTATTCAGCGCAAGCACAGCCAGATTATTCAAAGCATTTCAACTGCTCTGTTAATCACTGGGCATGACTGTGAATATTTAAAGGGACACTATAGTAACCAGAACAGCTACAGATTAATGTACTTGTTCTGGTGTCTATAGCCTGTCCCTGCAGGCTTTTTGTTGAAAACACTGTTTACATTAAAGCATAGGAACACCTCTCTGAGAGTGGTGGGGACCTAGAGACCCTATAGAGCCAGGAAAACGTGTATGTTTTCCTGGCACTGTAGTGGTCCTTTAAACTCTCTGCCCTGCTCAGTTAGACTTTCATCCAGTCTCAGTTCCTTCAAAAGATCATTAAAAACTAAATTCTTTAGGTAAGCGTATTAAGTGTAGAAATAGCTTTCCCTCCTCACACTCTGCTTCCTCTCCTGCAATTGTGCCATCCAATAAACTAACCCTTCACTGTAAACTATTCTAGTAACCTACTTTATCCCGAGCACAAAATACATCCCACCTTTACCTGTTGTGCCACTTTACCCCACTCCTTCTAGAATGTAAGCTTGTTTGATCAGGGCCTCAACACCCTCTGTTCGTTTTGTTGCAAATACTTGTCTATTAGTCAACCCGTTGTACAAGGCTGCGAAATTTGTAGGCACTTTATAAATAATAATAATTTTGCATTCCTACCTTGTTAACGCATACTGCTCCAGCGCATGGTCATCTTTTTCTTCGTCAGCCATTTCTAGGCTAAACCCATCATTGCACTGAAACACTACAGGCATTTCATTCATTGAGCC